CCTACTTTGATATATAGATTGCAGACAGTATGACAGCTTTTTAAATTAAGGACCTGACTTTCATCAAGGGGGATTTTGCAGAAATATCCCCCTCAGCAAACTTAACCTGAACTTTCTCAATCATAAGCACAAAGCCACGCATCCATCCTTCAGGAAGCATTTGTTCTGTCCAAAATATTTTTCCCCCATAGTAATTTCTGTCATAGATTCATTCTCTTGTTGGTGATGATTACATTTCAGCTGTTATTTGTTTTTTGGGCCACAGTCCTTAGATTGCCCTCCATAGAGGAGTAGCATTTGCTGTAGATCCATTAGACAATGTATCAATACCACTTCAGTCAACTCAAATATTTCCTTAGATAAACACTTTGAGACAATAAAAGATTATGGAATTACAGTTTATAACTTTTAACCTACAGTTGTTTCATAGTCTTGGAAATGACAAGTCCTTTTCCCAGCATGCAAATGAGAAACAGTACCCCACCCCAAAATTTTAAGAGCAAGGTAGATGCATAATTCAACCAAACTGATTAGGTACTCTAAGATGCCATCAACCGCCCCACTACTGTTTATCCAGACACCAGACTATCAAAGGTTTGGAAGCATAAGATGGCAGATATAGTCCATATGGGACATCTACCTCCTCCTAACATGCACATCCACAGTCCAACACCAGCAACAGAGCAATGTCAAGAGGAAATGAAGAATGTGACACTTTAGTTGAGAGTGCTACTTCACTTTTAGAGGTCATCCCCACTTTTAGTTTGGATACCAGAGTTCTTTTTTTTGGTGAGCACGAAAGACTCCCTTGTTCAATGCCAACTGGTCTCCAAATTAACAAGGTAGCCACATCACTGCAAAGTCCTTCAGCACATACTGAGCACGTGCACTCTAGTAATAGTGCCTAACCCTTCACACTTGCTGGTGATCTCCATTCCCTAATTGTTACAACTTGGTATTTTGTCTTTCACCACGACAACTCTGCCCTTGATATCCCAACTAACAACTAGAAACTGAAAGAAGTAAGGAGTAACAAATATCAAATTATTTATTGGAAGGATGGTTATTTAAGACTGCAGTTGGTTCAATGCCTTGCTTAGACATAAACTTTCTTGTTTGTGGGTAGGAGGCAAGTTACTATAGAGACCTGAGAGCTGCTGTGATCAACACAGTGACTCTGGAGCTATGGGGTCAAGGAGAAAAGAAATCAACACCATTGGCGGTGAAAGCACCTTTATGACAGGGACAGTCTGACAGAGAGCCTGAGATGTGTGTGGAGCAGGGTCTTGACCCTTCTCTGCCAAGCTGACTCGACTCACCAGCAAGTCCACTCCACTCTGGCCCAGTAACTCTGGCATTATTTTCTTCTCAATTGTCTTGAGAGAGAATACAGTTACGAGAGACAGAATTATTCCCACCATAAAATGTCTTAGTTTCCAGGCTCTTGCTTATTCTGCTGGTAGACTTGAAAGGCTTAAAGGTTTTGAATGTTTTAAGCAAAGCTGAGCATTAAACCTTCCTCTCTCCACATCCCAAATGCACTGCCCAGGTATTGAGTCACTGTCTGTTATTCAATAACTTTTGAACATAAACTTCTCCAACCCCTTCAATCTCTTCTTGGACTCTCAAAACATAGGCAGAGAAATGTCTAGAAGCTGAAGACAGCTGCTCATTTCCTCTGCCCAGGTGGGATGAGGATTGTTCTGGGAACTCACAAGACTTAAGATGCAAAGGTAGTTTGGTCACTTGCAGTATTCAGTAGGAGGCTTGTGGCCTGCACACTGATTTAGCCACAGAGGGACACTTAAACAATACTGACTGCTGAAATCCCTAGGGGTATCTCCTCTAAGCCTCTTTGTGCTCTGGTTTGCTAGGTATAATACAGAGAATAGCCTCGCAGTGTAGTTTGCAAGGACAATGCAGTTCAATTCTGTGTGTTGCACTACCAAAGATTGATTTGAAGAGTCAATCACTCCAAACCTATTTTTCACCCAAAGCATCCACTCTCGAAAGAAAAAATGAGCTACATACATTTTACATCAGTTTGTGCATGAAGAAAGACAGGTTTAGTGGATGGAGACACTTCACACTGAAGCATACAAATTAGCTCCCTGTGGGAGTGAGGGAGATGAAAATAACTCTCAGAGTCAAGGAATGACCCCTAGGCCAGTCCAGGACAGGAAACGTCATGCAGTCTGCAGAAGTAACACCTGCATCTTTGTGATGAAAAAAAGTGAAAAAGTGAAAGAGTCCTTTTACCAGCAGAAGCTAAAAGTGTATTCCCTGAATAACTCAAAGGTAAATGCATTTTGGAGGAGAAAATGGGATGACTGAAGGAAATCCCTGGAGGACCACAAGTCGTCAGGTGTAAGAGCTAGGATCCTCTTCTAGGACCTGTCTGCATAAAGTAAGTCTGAGATGTAGGGCATGGGGGAGGACATAATCTCTCCTGAGGAAAGACTCAAAAGGAATTCTATTGAGTACAAGGAGAGATACTTTGTAGATCAGTGAATTTATATCGTGTGGGTTTCTTTCATTCCTTCTTCTATAATTTCTTTAGGGATTTGTCACTTGGATCTAGTTTGTAATTTGGGTTTACTTGGAATATTTTATGTTCTTTTATTTCCAGTTTCACCTTCACCTATTCTGAGTTGAAAAGAATTTTCTGATGCCTGGCTAGTATCAAGACAGGATGTAAAAATGCTTACAATGAGATATTAGTGCAACAATTGCACTCCTCTTCTGCACATTTTTCCACAGTATGAAAATGGTGGCTGTCTGTGCCAACCCAGAAGTTGTGTAGTCCAATTTGATAGAGACAGGAGAGGAGGAACTGCATCCCAGTGGTCAGATTGATGGGAAAGTCCTCTGCTTTTGGGTAAGGTAGTCAGAGGACACCCGAATTCTAGGGAACCATCTGCAGTAGTGTACAATGGTACTAAAAGATAAACATTAGGTTTGCATAGTTGTGGTTTATAGAACCAATTCGCAGTTTACAAGCATCAGCATTGTGGTTTCTGTCTTGCAGCGTGAGAATTTGTTTCTATCAAGTTTGCTACAAATTTTTAGCAGGAGCCTTAACTTTTCTCACCATGGGATCAGACTCACAAACAAGTTATTAGGAAGCAATAAGCTGCTGCACATTAAATAACAAAGTGTGTTTAGCTTTCTTCCATCCCACTACTTTGAATGCTCCTGAACTTGCTAAGATACATTTCGCCAGTCACGCCTTAACTTGCAAGTACCCTCAAGACTTTGTTGTAGCACTTCAGTCCCCAAGAAGCTCATCCAGCTTTAAAGTTGAGCCTAAAATTTAAGAATTATCCCTGAGCTCTTTCTGCATGCAAATTATACTTGACACATGATGTTACAATTTCCAAGCTAAGTTGTTTCTTTTTGGTATTCACAAGTAGTCTTAAAGCTTCATAGACAAATCTGTCATGGCGCGATCACATCCTAACAGAATGATCAGCTCAGAAACATCCTCCCCCTGTGGCAACTGAGGAGTATTCCTACAGCGGGGCAGCAGATTATTACGAGGGAAACACATAATTAAAGTATTTTTTTGCTTCTTTAAATACAGCTCACCAGAGGGAAATGAGAAGCTGAGTGCTATGGCTGCACAGTCAAGTGTTTGAAAGAGGAGCGGGGATATCCCAGTTTATACAAGCTGTTTTGTCCTCTAGGTTGTTCATACATACTCCATTTCACCCTTATATTCTTCTCTACTTATGTTACACATCCAGACTTTTGAATGAAATGGTGTTATGTGCCATGATTAGGTAACAACAATTGTATAGGGTAAGTATGAGAAGTTATGAGCACATGTACATGTTAATAGAGATGAAAATTTTTATGAATTTTAAGCATTGTGGAAGTCCCAGTAGTCATATGCATACAGGCAAAAAGGGCATAATCCATAATCCTTCATGTAGAGGGGAACTTACATTTCCCCTTTCACTTGTAAGAAGTTATATTTGTATTAATTGGTGAGCTCTCATCAGCAGGTTCAAATATACCAGTAACCTACTGCACAAATGTTGTGTCAACACATTGGGATTATTATTGCATTTGCATGAACATTGTCACAGAGTTTTGATGGTTTTAATTGAGACATGTTTTCTCTGATTATATTTTAACAAGATTTATGAATAAATACCACAGCGAGAAGTCTGCAACATCTGGATGAGTCTCACTCAGAATCATTATGACAGCACTTATTTTAACAGAGTCACTGGAAAATACTCTTATCTCTGGTTACATGACAAGCAGTAAGAATTCAGTTTGTGTGTCTGGTGTGTAGGCTGATTGCTATCCCTTTAACAGTCTGCATTGTTGACAGTTGCGGAGCTTGAACTGCTTGAAAGGATTTTTCCTTCATAATGGAACATAAAAGCTTCCCATCCCTGCCAAATTTAACCACTTGTTTTCCTTCTGATGAAGATGCATGCTTCTGGGGAAGCTAAATCCCAGCATGCTCTTTCCGAAACTGACCTGTATATGGATGCTGTCAGTCTTAGATCAAGACACATGTAAATGTGATGGGCAAAGGTGTCACTGAAAGTAGTAATCACAGCCAGGGAAATTAAAAATAAAGGGACATTAAGTCAGCTACCCAGTCTTCCCTTTCTCTTAAATAACATAAGCCCATAGAGGGGAAAATAAAAAAAGAAAACTAAGTCCAACTTGTAATGTTGCTTAGTTGTCAACAGAGGAAAATATGTTCCAACATCATTGCATAACATGGATATACTATTCATTTGTTTACAGAAAACATCTTTCCTACAACATTTTAAGTTCTACCTTCAGCCTGTTAACTTGTCCTGTTTAGCTGCTGTGGGAGAGAGTAAACCTCTTTGCAATGAGCGACCAGGAGGGAAGTTACAGTAGAAATGGTCACCAAACTTAAGAACACCCTACCATCTGATGTTCAATGTGAATGCAATGCAGCTTAATATTTTTATAATATGAAAAAAAAAAAATCAAGTGAATACACTCACCATTCTCTTCCTGTCATACTTTGAGGAATTTCATTTTCATTTGCAGACCTCAAAATCCACTCTGTGTTGAGTGCTGTGTGCTGATTGATGGAAGGTTAGTGGTCCACTCTCTCAATTAGTGAATTTTGCTGGGGAGGAACAACATAAAAAAGCATACATTAGGACTTTCTTTTGTGTACTCAGGCTCTGCAGCATCTTAGTGCAAGGCTTTTGGATTATTAACTCCATAACATCACACAATCAGAAGAAGTAGAAATCTTCCTGCAGTTATTACTATTGAGAACACATCAAGTCTTCCCAGTAAAAAGACCTATCAGTGTTTAGGCATTCAGACCAACAAACCAACTATCTAGTGAAGTTCTTTGTTAAGAGATCCTCTAAGGGAGGTGGGAGGAAAGAAGGCAAGAGCATTTACTGTGTTCTTGTTTCCACCAATTGTATATTTCTATTATAAATTCATATATTTATATTTGTATTATAAAAAATATGCCATACATCTTCAGTGGCAATATTTTTATTAATTACTGTGCAGGGAACTCATTTAATTCTGAAAGAACAGATGTTGCTCCATTAAAGTAAACCACAGCATCTCTTCTGAGGGACTAAATGATGTTTACCTGACATAGTGGTTTCATGAGAACATTTATACCTTTATTACTTTCCTGATAGCAAAATAAGCCGTATAACAATGGAATTTAATATTGAAATATTACTGCAAAATAAAAGGTAGAGTTAACTTTCTGCATATGTTTCTTCAGTGAAGAACTCTATTACAGAATTTGCATGACAGTAATACAGATTTTTCAGCATTTAATTAGGTACATGTTAAGTATATGTACCCTCTTTTTTTTTTTTTTTTTTTTTTTGCCAAGAAGGGGGCGGTCTATTGTTTAAAATTGTACCCATATATACAGACTTTGTTTATGCATTACAGTTAATCATTCCTACAGCCCATCTTGATCACCCTTTAGGAAACAGCACAGTGCAAAGTATTTTTGTATAAATCACATGTAAAACATGTAAAGTCAAACCAACAACAACAGTCAAATGTTCACTGGAAAAAGTTGCAGAACAAAAGCACAGACTGACACATGCATGGGCACAAGCTGTTACCACATGCTGCATGTAGGAACCTGGGCAAAGCTACTGTCAAATCCCCAAATTAAGACAAATCTTTCCAAACCTTGAAAGAATCTGCATCATTTTGGTGACAGTCATCAATTCATACATTTCTCTTTGTGCTATTAGGGGGGTTGATCACCCTGTTCAGGTAACGGCGCCATCTATAAGCCTGTGCTAACTTCCACAACCACAGCAGGTAGATGGGAATCCATCCATTACAAATCCCACCTCCAGTCAAGGGAAGCTTTGAAGCCTCACCATTTCCCAGATCAGGTTGTCATTACCAAAGTCTCAGCAAAGGCCTACAGTCCCCACTTGGCAAACAGCAATCTCAGCTCATAGGTGTTGGATATAGGTAGTCTATCTATCATCCCCCAGCACAGGCAGCTATACAAGTCATCCTTTAAAGTACCAAAGAGGGAACAGATTCCCACTAATGTGACAAGAACCAATACAAAGGCCTTCCCATCAGCAGACAGCAAGACTTGCTCATCTTGTGTTAACCACTGTTACTGCCCCATTCCTGCATGCATGAAGAGTGCACTATACATATGATATATGTTCATCTTCAGTTTCTGCTAATCGTTATTCTACACACCCAAAGTAACTGACCTTCTGGTCTAGCACCTTTAAAAAAAAACATGTGGACATTTGAATATATTAGAAACAAGATTCAGAAGTGCTGATAGATATGAAGAAAAGAAAGAGGAGGTACCAGAATCTGACTGACATATCCAGAGGTACAAGACGTGAAAGTCTGCGATATCACCATCTGCAAACATGTACCAGACTTCCATCCTTTATTAGCTAGTGAGGGAGAAGCCATACAATAAAGATGCATTGCTGCCCTATAATGGCTTTCCACAGAGTTATGTACAACTGCAAAGCGACAGACAGAAACTACTGGCAGTGAACAAACTGGTGCTCTATCTGCAATATAAGTAACCTCTGAAATGCAACCATGCACCTATTTGTTTTCCTAAGCCCATGATTTATTTATTCCACATCCACTTTGGACTGCTATCTAAATTACCTCTAGTTACAAACCACCACAGATGTGATTCTTGTTCAGGTAAGTAGGAACAGTATAAGCCACCAAGACTCCCAGCTGAACATGGATTTGGATTACTGAAGCTTGGCAAAGAACATGCAGAAGGAACAGGGATGGGAACTTGTGTCCTAGGGCCATATGAAGGAACATCTGTGTTTGTGCTGCACCACCTCTTCAAAGCACCTCCTGTGCACCTGACTAAAGAGGTTTCCAATCCAAGCAGTACTTTCCCATGTGCCTGAGAAACCACTTTCATGTAGCATCACCAGCAGGTCATCTCAGCAACAGACTTCTGTACTGTCCCATACTACTTCTCTCCCCGCCTACGTGCCCCCTTCTTCAGCCTCTTACATCCAAAAATGTATACTTAAAAAAACATGGTTTCACAGATATTTCTTTTTAGCCTTTCAGAAGTAGGTTTAGCCAAACAGCTCGCAACTTCAGCTCAGTTTTGTTGGTCATACACACTGTCAGAAAGTGGAAAGCATGAGTAATGCAGTACAGCCAGAGCTATGTGGTGCTGCAGAGGACAGTGGGCTCAATAGGATTCACGCAGCCTGAGAGAAACCTTTGGGGAAGTACAAAGCATGAAAGCATTCAAAACATAAAAAAAAAAGTTAAGAAAATTAAACCTCTGCTTCAAAATTAGCATGAGTGGATCTAATCACTTGCTGCCTCATTCCTAACTTTTTTTGTCCATCACAAACTGTGGTCCTGCACCCTCTCTGTGCCAGAACTGGCCTTCCTCCAACCTTGCACTGAGCCACTTCAGCTTGTTAAGTTGGCAAAAAATAAATCACTGCATCAGCTAGGGAGAAGGTATTATGTTCTCAGCCCCATGTAGCTTCCCACCAGACAGCCTGTCTTCTGATCACCACAGATGGCTTCACATCCATCCCTCAGGTCCTGTGAAGAGCTTCCCAAGCTAAACTCCTAGGGCTCTTCTGCTACAATCATTCTCATTTAACTTGAAATAAAATTGTATTTTCTCCTGATTTCTCAGAATAAAAGGATAACAAATTCCCTTTTGAAATCTGGTTACTCAGATTTTACATGGTTGGGTCACTGGACAAACTGCTGTTCTAGAAACATCTTTCCTTAAGCCCCAGTAGAAGCAAGCCAGCAGCCTAGATACTTCAGATGCTGCTTAGATAAGATCTATGTATATTAGGACTCTCAAGTCTTCCCTTGAGAGGGGCTTTATCTCTTTCTCACGTAGTTTATGGAGTAAAGAGGAATGTTTCTAGATAGTAACCTAACCAGAAAAATGTGAGCCTGAAAGCAGGTATTCAAGTTACTGGACTGGGACCATCTGTGAAAAAATGAAATATCCCAGTCCCTTCTTCTTCAGTACCCCGGTAGTGAGAAACAAAATGAGGACAGAAAGCTGCAAAAGCCACCTGCACTGAAACATAAGTATACTTGACAGCAGAACGAAAGCATGAAATCCAGTGTTTGTGCTGGTGGCTCCCTTTTACTGCTTTTTGGGTTTTATAATACAGTTTGGATGCCTTGGGCCTGAGCTGCAGAGGAGTATTCAGCTGTAAAGTTGGTTGTGCTAGCCTTGACCCAGCTTTCTCCAATTTATCTTGATTTGAGTTTAGGCCTCTGCTGAGTACACAAGCAAAATTTGGTTATTCTCCCATTAATACCTGCATGACTTGACTGCAACATTCCTTTAGATATGCCTAACACCTAATCCCATAGAAATGGGAGAGCTATTATAGCATGGATTATTTCAATGGTTTAAGATCATTGTGCAAAGTAATTAAAAACGTAACTGTGCTTCCAATTGTTAAGACACTTCATTACTTCCTTGAAATTCTATGTCACTTTCTTGGGATCAAGTACCAGATATGTTAAGCTTGTGATACTTCCTAAAGCACACAGAGGAAATTCAGTTTCACACCAAAATATACCTACAACAGTTACTCCCCTTAATGACTGAAAATACTTAATTACAGAATACCATGCAACCTTTGTGTTTCTTCCCTCCAATCCACCTTATCAAATGGATTAATTCCTATTTCTCTATTACCCTGTAGAACTTCTGCAGTGTTTTACTCTTAGGAGCAGGCATCCCATATAGAATAAACGGAATGTCTGCAGCCAGATATATTATGGCTGTCAAAGTAATTTGTATAATTGTGACTATTATTTTGAAAGCTAGATATCAACATGGATTGAATTTTATCATTCATTTTCCAATTCTATATATCTAGCCATGCACAAGTACTAACTCCATTCTGGTACAAAGGATACAACAGTGCATCTATAGGAAGTAGCATTAGTCATATCCTGAACTATTTAGTCTAAGGTTTTTGAGGGCCTTAACTAAAAGTATTAGTACCAAGGACAGAGTTCTTCACAGATAAACAGTCATTTTGAAGCACTGAAATGCAGCATTAAGAGCCTGTCAGTGTGACATACATAAAACCCACTTAGCTAACTACTTTAACAGCCCTTCTTTTAAAAGCTGCACTAAAGGTAGATTCTACTTTCAGAGATCTGCAATTTTAAATTTTACAAGGGATTTCACAGTTGATGGAAAAATTGTACTTCTAATTGAAAGCAAGGGTAGGGAAAAAGTAAAGAACCAAGCCAACATGTATTTTGGAGACTCCATTCCCATGAAATCCTTACATGGAAATTGACCTAGCACCAGACTCCAGTAAATAACATTGCACTTGCTCCACTACCCAGCAGCACTTGGATCTGCTCTGAGCCAAGGTAAAAAAGAAGTAATATTTTGTGACAGAAAGAAAATCCCATTACTAGGAAGTCAAAAGTGAAATGTGCCATTGAAGTTTTATGTAATGTGAGACCACAGGATGATTTAGTGAAATATTTGTTAAGATGTCCTAGAAGCTTCTCCATGCAATAGTAATTTCTCTGATTAAAGGCAGTGTTACGTTAAGAGCCGCATTATAGTCTTATTCTGACCCTGGGTAATAA